AGGCTTAACAACCTAATTACTGGACTCAACAGACCGAACCACTATAAATCTGGTGTGTTCTTTCCTTTATTTCTTCCGTATTTAATTTCTGCATTTGGTTTTCTTTGTGGTGAAATTGGTTTTGATTGAAAGATTTTTTTTACCAATTCACCTCTCTCTCTTAATTAGCTTTGGGCTAGTTTATAGGGCCTAACATCCCTAACGAACTTTCAAATTTCACTTGTAAGATCTCTTTGTGCACTCTCAAAACACTATCCCAAAGTACTCTCACACTTGATCTTATATAAAATATAAAAAAGCATTCATCCACAGTCAGTTTTTAGGACCTTATATATGAAAAATATAAAAAATCCTCCAAAAATTTGAAAATTTCAATTTATCCGTCCATAATCATACAATATAATCACAAATCATACATACAATCAATACAAATTTCTCATACAATCATGTACAAACCAATTGTGTACTCTGATTGACTTATATACGAATTGATATCATATAGTATGATCAGTTCAAAATTGAACATATTTATCCGGTATAATTTTGTATGAATTGATTTTATACATTGGAAGTCATCTTTACGAACTCAATATTGTACAATACGATCTATTTTAATCAAATTATGTTTCATTCAGTATAAAAATGGACAAGTCCATTTTGTACTATGGAAGTCATCAGTACAAACCCAGGTTCGTACAATAAGAACAGTTCAAAAAATTCACATATTTATATGGACAAAATGATACCCACCAATTTTGTACTATATAAGTCATCTATACGAACCCAAGTTCATACAATAATAATTGTTTAAAAAATTCACCTATTTGTATGGATGAAATGATATGCACTGATTTCATACTCTGGATGTCATCTATACGAAGGTAACATCGCACAATATGAATAGTACTTAGAAATTTTTCATGAATGATTCGATTAACAGCTTTCTGGATGAATGCTCAGGTCAAATCATCTTATACGACCCAAATTTATATAGTATGATTAGTTTTAAAAAAATCTAAATTTTTTGCACTCATCTAGTGTGTGTGTGCATTGTTACCCAATTACAATCACACTCTCTCAGACTAAAAATAAATAAAAATTACATACTTCATTACAAGAACCTTAATCTAATATGCCTTGAAGTCTTCAGCAATCAGGAATATTACCTAACATATTAGTACACACAAATAACAAAAGCAATATTTTAAAAATATATTAAGAGAAAATAGTAATCAATTCAATAATATTTTGGAATAATAAAAAATACATATGATATGAAAATATAGTTATGAAAACTAAGTTGCAATACTAGATTGATCTTAGGGTCTAGATAAATTGTAGGTTTTGGATAGATATAGGGTCTAGATAGATCCTAGGGGTCTAGATTGGTCCTAAGGTCTAGATAGATCCTAGGGACTTGATTTGTCCTAGAGACCTCATACAAAAAAGAGATCAACAGCTTCTTGCCCTCTTATTTGCATATTATGGATCCGGTGGTATGGCGTTGCACTGTAATTGTTTGACTGTTGGTTTATACAGGTACACTATCCTGCTGTACTTGTTACTTTTTATAGGTAGCTTATTATACACTAATGAATATCCTACTATTGCTATAGGTGCCTGCATGTGTTGCAATTCTTTCTTCTCTGCTTTCAAACAACATGTCGGATATAAAATAAGTCTCCTTCAACGACCCTTAAGCATTTGCATTTGTCATTAATCAGCCATCTTTTGATTGCCTGGGATCTCTACATTTGGTTGTCTTTATATAGCTATTGACTGCAAGAGAGTTGTGATTCACACAATAACTTTGTTCATTGATATTTATTTGAACGATTTATATCATTATTTGTGAGTAGTTCATATGTTGGCATTGATTGCAAGGCATGTTTGCATTCATTGCATATTTCTTTGTATATGTCTACTAATTAACCACCACCATTTGAAGGGACATTATACCATTCATCATATGATACATCATTTGTATCTATGGGAAGCTTCATTACACTGATTGGCAAATTGTTGCATCTGCATGTGTATCTTTCAACGCTTGTGAGAACGATTGTATGGATTCCCTAGGCAGTTGACAATAGTTGTAGGGAGACAGTAGCATCACAAGTCTATTTTTCGTATTGTCAACACATTTGTCTAGAGTTTTCTGATGAGCCAACAAATTCATTAAGAGTCTCATCCAACGATGATTTCAAGTTCGTCGCATAGACTTGGAGCATATTCATTTGGAAGTTACAAGCATCATATTATTCATATATAGCTGAAGGTTTTGAAACATCACTTGCAATCTAGTTAGATATTCTTGCTAATTGTTTCCTCTGGGTGAGATGTAAGTATTTTCCCTTAGTCCACCACAAATCCTTGCTTGTTCACTTAGATCCACTTAAATGATCAGGATTCGTTCATTGGGAACTTAAATTTTGATTGATCATTCATTAAACCAAAGTCTGTTTCATATGCTCCATTCATGTTCACGTTCTTTAGGATTCATTTGAGTTCTTTGAATCATCATCTATCATATTCATGATTACGAATTTTTTTATTTTAAGATTCAATTCTCTATCATCCTTTAAGTTCTTTCTGTTATTATTCAAATGAAGATCTTATTGATTGTTCATTGTGTTCAAGTTCAAATTCAAGTTCTTGTTATTTAAATAAGATTTAAGTTCAACTCATCATTCACTTAAGTCCCATGTGTTCAATCAAGTCCCCTTTTTAGTCCAAATTTTGATAGCCTCATGACGTTTCCCCTATTTAAGAGAAAATTTGAGAGACATAGCCTTTCCCTCCATGCTAATGAGTGCTTCATGTAGGTGTAAGATGACATTGTGGGTGCATTTCTTTAGTCCCCGCTAGGCTACGTGAGCACTTAAGGGCCCTGATCCACCACAAAATGAGTAATTCCATAGGAAAATGTGCATTTCCAATGAATTTATGGCAAAAACTAAGTCGACGGTAAAACATGCAAGAAATTTCTTGCCGGAGATATTTTTTGCTTATTTATTGACAAAATTTCGGTAGAATTGTGCAGCACAGAAGGAGAAGCATATTATTAAGTTAAGTGTTTGCATAAAATTTACCTTCATAAAGCATATTCTTTATGGCATAAGTGAAGATTTGGAACCACATCTTATATAGTTTTCTCCAAAGTTTGAGGAGAATTTTCCATCACACAATAAACCCAATTCCAGTATTATAACCATCGAACTTGAATTCTACTAATAGTATCCACAGTTATTTAACCATCTACTCACTCTATAGTCTCATCAACAAGAAGAATATTATTAACAAAATTAATACACCATGGTACAATCAATTGCAAATGTCTACCAAGAACATCAATGACCAAAGCAAAAAAGAAATGGGCTAACACAGATCAACATACGGCTATTCCGATGACCAAGGTAGCAAACAACGATGAGAGAGCGATGTACATGGTGGATTGTTAAGTTTTTATTCTCCATATTCAAGGATGACTCCTCATTTTACTACTTTTCATATAATGTTTGTCTTCCAAAAACTAGCATCAAACCATACTCATTGTATTTTTCAAGATGTTGAATATAAATTTATCCAGTGGTGGCATCTATTCTTGCTAATAAGTTTGGTTAGGTAGAGCAAGAGAAAAAGAAGGGGAAATTAGTGAGTACATACAAAAAATAAGAAACTAAATAATATCTATGAATATTAAAAATGACATGAAGTTTAAAATATACCTCTTAACCCTAAATTTAGGAGATTGAGAAGGGCATAGAAAAGTTTATAACAAGAAAATAGAAAATAATGCATGAATTTTTATGAAAAATCTTATACCGACACATAAACAAGGCCAAGATATACACTCGTAGTAATCTGCCTCTAATACATCATAATCATCTCTAACAATTGTCCTATCTAGGTGGTGAGACCTCAGGGGGCGAGCGCCTTGGGTAAGTCTTCTAAGGTGAGTGCCTTGAACAAGTCCTCTGGGATGAGCATCTTTCTCCATGAAGGTGAACTTCTCAAATAAGTAGAAAGTCCCTTCAGGTGAGCGATGAGTCTTCCAGGCAGGTGTAGCTTGCATTGGGGATGAACATAGTTGATGAAGCTATAATTATAGGCCATTTAAGTTTGTGGCTCTTGTAGCTTGGACGGGGATATCCATGGAAGAAGGTAGGCCATAGCTATGGAGAGCACCTCCTTTGACAAATGTCTCTTCAAGTGAAAGTGCTTTGAGACAAGTTTTCTTATCAAATTCACTCAGAATATATACATCATTGATTGAGTTTTGTGGTAATGAGCTTCTATAATGCAAGTTTCATTCAGATGAATACTTGCTATTCCCTGATCGTGTTTTAGTAAGTGCTCCTCATGGCGTGGCTCATATTGAATGAGCACGCCTCTTGATCGAGCGCCTTAGTGGTGAACTTATTTGATTCCTACGAGTTACCTATGAACATATATATGAACATACAATAATTATGCCAACTTCAAAAGAATAATTATTAATAAAAGCTGCCATGAAAAATATAGATAATAGTAAAAATTTTATCTCAAATCTCAATATATAAGAAGTATGTCTTTTTATGTACAATCTAAATGGTTTGGTTTTACTATATATGTAACATCACCTAAAAAATTAAATAATATTTTACTCATCTGAAAATTTAACATCCATGCAAAATAGAAGATATGAGAAAAATCATTTCAACATATAAGCTATGAGAAAAATCACAAGTACATTTGCATTGAAATACATAGCCTTTTTTCTTGTCTTACATATTAATTTAATATTTAAATATTACGCAAAATTTAGATGTTAGCCATCCACTTCTCCAAGAAGTAGGAATCCATAGTTACAAATTAGCAAATAACTTATATGTTTTGGCATCCATAGTTAGCTGCCTCACAGTAGCAATGCAACCTAAGACCGTCAAAATAGATGAGACTGTAGCAATCATTGTGTTTATCCAGAAGACAAAATCCTTCGTCGATGGCCGGAATGTTATGTTATACATCACAGAGGGCACCACAAAATCCAGTGGCAAGAACCCGAATGCTCCAACGACAGCAATAATATCTCCAAAAAAAGGAAGCATGGCGGCGATGATGGTGCCCACCGCAACAACAATTGAACGAAAAATCATCCTTGGAATCACATTACGAGCGGAGTATTGTTCTTTCTTTGGGTCGGCGAATAATCCCTCGAGCACTTCATTTGTTGGTTGTAGGTAGACCTGCATGCGTTCAGTATTTGTTCTTAAACGTTAAATTTTAAATTTTATTAAAAAATATTATGTCTAGATATTTTAATGCAAAATATGTTAGAGTTAAAAGATATTTAATGTAAACGACCTGATATTAAAATAGAAGGATTTACATTCATACAATAAAATTCTTATTTATTTACATATATAATTATAAAACACTGTAGTGCCTTAAGGCTTCGTTAGGGACGGTTTTCTTTTTGCTTCTAAGGGGTAATTTGGTTGAATTACTTTTGGGTATATAGTATTTCAAATGCAAGAGTTTTACAAACTTTTGTGTTTGATTAGAATATAAAATTAGACAAAGTACAGTATAGTAAATGTAATATAAATTGAAGTAGTTTATTTTAAGTGTAAAGCTAATTCCTCTTAATTTGAGTGAAAATCATTTACATCACAAGCTTGTTTAGCTTTCTTACTGTTTCTTAAAATAGTTTTTTAGTACAAAAAATTTAAAATTTGTACTAAAAAGATGCTTTAAGAAACTGTAAGAAAATTGTCCCAAACGAAAGCTAAATGGCATTAGAACTAAGCCATTTGACTTTAGTTAAGCTAATCTAGTGATATTTTTTTATGTGAGTTAGAGATTAGAATGTTATATATAAATATAAAATTTTATTTCTTAAATATATAAATATATAAAAAAATTATGATATGTATGTAAATCCCTCTAAATAGTTAAAAAAACAATATTGGGATTCGATTAGACATATTTTGCCTAAAAACAATCTTTACAAACATATATGGCAACCTAATATCCCCCCGACTTACTCTTTTCTTCTTTGGAGAGTTCTCCATAATTATCTACCTATTGACTCGATTTTGATGAAAAAAGGCCTCATTATTGTTTCTAAATGCCAATGTTGCTATCATATAGAGAATCTTAATCATGTTTTCATCAATGGTCCGATTGCTACCACAGTTTGGATTTATTTTGATAATATTTTTAATGTGCTTTCTTCTTTTCAGT